CTTCCCACGATGAATAAACGATGAGACCCGAGTGTTTCCGGAGGCAATGAAAATCATCCAGACCAATTTAATGAATAGAGTAAAAACGACGACAGACTAGTTGTTTGATGCAGAAGAGTATTTTTCTGATGTTCCTCTCTTACGAAAAAAAAAACAAGAGTAATTAAACAAAACTAATAAACAATTATTATAGCCCGGTCATTGTACGTACAATTAAATGTAAAGAAATTTCAAATGTTAATGGAATTAAATTTTTGTCACTGAAAGATTTTCAAGTGGGAAATTTCCTGCGATGAAATGAAAACAATTGATGCAATTTCGTTGACATATTTTCCATGAAGTTCAAATGATCCTTTAACAAATAACCGAATGAAAAGTTATGAATATTTGTGAGAAATTGATTGGTTTTATCATCAAGAAAATATTGTAAAAAACATTCGCAGGGATTTTTCCATTCAAAATTTTTTTATTAAAATCTCAAGACAGATGAAACAAAGCAAATGTAGATATGAACGAATATGATATTTACATAACAATAATGGATTAATTATCAAGAATGGAAAAATACTATATGCATAGAGTATATTTTCAAATGGAAGTTGAACGGGTCGAGTGAAAATTAATGATTAAAGTAACGAATTTTCGTAGTTGCAAGTTACTGAGAGAAAAACTGAGATAATTAAGCTGATAATAGTGATAATGATTATGAAATGGTTCATCAGGGTGTTGGAGATTCTAACGAATGTTGTTATTTGGCATTGAATGAGGGGATTCCCCTCGACTTCAGCAGGGAAACGATGGAATGAGGAAACTTTTTTGAGAATATCTCGAAGAACTGTTCGGGAATACAAGTAGATTTTCTTCGTTTCACGTTTCACTCCTGATTTCAGTAACAAATTTTCCTCTTTTTTCACATGAAATATATAAACAAATGGGTTGATGATGAACTTCCCTCCGGAAACACTAGAGAATCTCAGATCTCAGACACAGTAGAAGGAAAATTGTTTCAATTAACAAGACATTACCGAAAAAATAACTGTAGATTTTGTAATTATTAATATTATTTTTACGTAATAAGCGGCATCGTATCGTGTAATTTTCCGTGGCTCAGTACGCATTATTGACTTGACAACATGATTTTGAAGAAAGACAAATGATGAAGGGTGATTGATAATCATCGAGAAATGGGATTAAATAAAGTTCGCATATGAACATTTAATTGTACAGGAGCAGATGGTGGCTCTAGTTATTGTATTATTATGATGAATAATAATTGATTATGCATGATAATGAAATCATGAAATGCTAATATTATTTTTAATTACTATTTAATTAATTTTTAGTTTAATACTAATGATGAAAATACACTACACGTTACACGAGTGGTTGATGAACTAGACACATTTGTATTTAAGTGGCATAATAGGCGGGTAAAGAGTTGAGGTGCGTGATGAGTAATGATTATAGATTATTAAAAGAATAATAAAGTGAAGTGAAGTAATGAACGAGTGATTATTAGTGGAGTTTATGTTGAATTTTAGGTTTAATTGATGAAGGAAGATAATTTCAAACATTTTCTTCAAAAATATCTCTGGAACTATTGTATCTAGAGAAAAATGTCACAAGAACTTTATGTGGGAAATTTATTCTGTACAAAAAATATTGTGACATTTTCTTGATAAAACCAATGGTTTACGCGATATTGGAAAATTTTTGTGGATAAAATTCCTTGACTTTGTTTTCAGTTGGAAATTTCTACTTGATTAGTTAATTATCTCGATAATGAGTGGGTTTAGAAGAAAACATGTAATGACCTTTTTTGTGATGTTTTTCTATAGATCCTTTATTTATCGAGATATTCACGGAATATTGAAATATAAATTTTTGGATTCGTCTTGTTTGATCAATTGACAACTGATCCCCCTTTCTTCAGCGAGATATTCAAATGGAGTATGGTTACAAATTAATTGTTATCAATGATTGATTTAATGATAATTATTAATGATTAATTACTTATTATTGGAGAGTGCAATATGTACAAATCAAAATTAAATTTACCTTTTTATACAGAACGATGAGGGGAAGGGGGGGGGGGATTGAGTGGGGTTTCAGTGACAGATAAGAATCATTGAGAACAATTGGATAATTTATAGCGATAGATGGATCAATATCGTGAGAGTACCGCATCATTGGAGGATTGAATTAATCTGTGAAGCCTTCGTCTATTGTATAATATTTATATTTCCACTCTTTCTTTTCCTCTTTTTTTCACATAGAAACAAGCAAGGCATGATCTATGCTGCTGTGTATCGATAATATGTTACAATATTAGAGTAAAACTTTCAGCAAATACATAAAATGCTCTTTTTATTTAAATACTTACGTATGAATTATTTTTTATCAAACGACAAATTTCTCAACCCCACAATTCATTTTTTTAATGTATAGAACGATTTCAATAGACAAATGATGAAGTTTTCTTGATTGAAATGAAAAATTGTCTTCTGTAATTCGACAGTGAAGTGGTAATATCAGAAACAATTCTTGAATTAATGATCAATCCTCTTCCACTCATGTTCAATGAATTCTGATTGAGGGGATATAGAATTACGAAATGAAGAAAATAGAAAAAAAAGCACTCATTTCGCTGATGTTTTGAAATCAATTTCACGTAAACATCATTCAGATTTTGGCGAATACCTCGGAATCCAAGAGAGCCAGTGAAATTTTCGTTTATAACACCCCAATATTTTCGCAGGTTAAAAAAATCCCGAGCGCTTGCGCGAGGACGCGAGTTGACGCATTCGTTTATATGCAGGGAAGTTTGGGGGAAATACTCCGATTCAGTTTGAAGCTCGTATTCGGCGGATTATTTCCCCTATGACCATTGCGATAAATAGAATTGTGGTATTCGGCGTTATCGTGGTAAATTCGACAATTTTTTGTTATTCTGCTTGGCAACGGAAAAATTACCGAACGACGGGGTATTGTCGATATAATTCTGTTCTGATTGGACCACGGGACGTTGAATTCCGCAATTCTATTGTTCGGAAGGGTGATGGCGGAAATAATCATGACAATTTCCTCAATTCTGATTTTGACCAATCAGAGTGCAGTATTCGGGGTCACGTGACGCATTTCGCACTAATAATTTCTCCGGTTGCAGGGAAATTATCAGACTGATAATTTCCCTGTAACCTGTGAATTGTTTTCTAAGAATTTGACAGATATTCCTCACATTTTGGTGAAATGTGTCCTGTAACCGTCATGTGTCACTGCACCCTGATCGGCCAAAATCAGAATTGAAGGAAATTGTCCTCCGAATACCCCTCGACCTTCCAAATTCATCGAATATTTCTCTCAAGTTTTCCTGCATATCAACGATCGGGATCAGTTTTGCAGTAAAATCCCGAGCGCGCCGCGCTCGGGATTTTAATCTGCAACACTGATCTCTCTCGTTGCTATGCAACAAAACATTCGAGAAATATTCGATAATTTTGAAGGTCTTGGGGTATTATAGCTGAAATACCCTCTTTTCTGCATAACAGAGTGGGACCTACAAAAAAATATCTTTACTAAAATTTCGTCATCCCCCTTGGATTCAGGAGTATTTATCAAAAACTCGCCCAGAAACTGAGTCGATTTATTCTATTTCACCACTTTACTACTGAATTGTTAATTGGTAGATTATCTTGGAAATCATCAATGCTAGGAGATATTTTCAAAAGACTTTTTGTAGACAGTTTCCTCCTCTACAGAAGAGATTTTTTAACGTTTTCCCCTGAAACCACTCGTTCCCTAGATAATTACCAAATTATCAATGATTCTCTTCGCTCAACGAAATACTGCCCACTATTCTCTTGAATGAACATCAATTTTTTCTATCGTTCAATGTATTTTGTTCTTTAATATTAAAAATATTGTGTATTCAACATACATATACGTATATATATATATATGGGGTATTCCATGTGAACTCACCCAGGTCAAAACCCTCACCATCGCCAATCATATTGCCGATTTTTCCTGTGGTTGTATATGGAAAAATATGACTTCTCAAATATTTTCAGATTTTTGAAGGCATCCTATGGACAGCCATGTTTTTTTGCAAGTTTTATCTTAAAATGCCTGTAACTTCCGTCAAAATCAACCGATTTGAGTTTTTTTTAATAAAATGTGCATCTTCGAACACACTTTCCATATAAAAATATGCCAATTTTTTCAATTCGTTCTTCCATCGATTTCCTCAGAAAAACGTCAAAAAACTTCAAAAAACGAGTCGTTTTCAAAGTTGGACCCTTTTCATATTTTTCAAAAAATTTCAGTGAATATATTGGACCAAAACAAAATTTTTCACCAAAGGCCAAAGTGGGCTTCCCATTTCGTGGCCGTCATTTCCAATTTGAATATATGAATCCGGGATGAGAAATTTAAAAAATTTCAAAATTCTTTTCGCATTTGAACGCAGAAGCATTATTTGAATTGACCGCCTGAAAAATCACTGCATTATATTCGAATCAGGAACAATTTGATGATTTTTTGAAAATTCGTTAACAATAAATCTTTCCGAGTGGTGTGTTCTAATAGAGATGCCACTTTGGCCTTTGGTGAAAATTTTTATTTTAGTCCAATATATTCACTGAAATTTTTTGAAAAATATAAAAAGGGTTCAACTTTGAAAACGACTCGTTTTTTGAAGTTTTTTGAGGTTTTTCTGAGGAAATCGATGGAAGAACGAATTGAAAAAAATTGGCATATTTTTATATGGAAAGTGTATTCGAAGACGCACATTTTGTAAAAAAAAAACTCAAATCGGTTGATTTTTACGGATGTTACAGGCATTTGAAGATAAAACTTGCAAAAAAACATGGCTGCCCACAGGATGCCTCAAAAAATCTGAAAAAATTTGAGAAGTCAAATTTTATCAGATACAACCACAGGAAAAATCGGCAATATGATTGGCAATGGTGAGGGTTTTGACCTGGGTGAGTTCACATGGAATACCCCATATATATATCATTTTTTACTTTGATTTTCTCTTAAAAATTATATTAAATGTACTTTCTTCATTCAACAAATGTGGTGCGATAAATAATCCACGATTTTGAGGTCCTCCAAGTGGAATAGTCCCTGTCAATTACATTTCACCATTGAAGAACGTAATTATCCAAGAACTAATTTACCACCGGCCCATCCTCCATGACAGGAATCGATTAAAACTAGAGTACGTGATCTTACAACCGATTTCAGTCTCGAAGACTTAAAAATCAATGAATTAATGAACATTTGCATTCATAGTCACTAGAAACACATGTGAATATTTCGGTATTGCCCATTTTTCCTTCTCCCCCTCCTTAATTAATTAATTTTTATCAATTTCTCAAGTGTAAATGATTATCTCTGTTCGTAACTCCTATACATTCGAATATCCCCTGGTTTTGAGTGAGCGGAACACGATTACCAGACGCTGCACTTGTGCATGGGGTTCATGGGAGAGCCCGGAGGACAGTTGTAGGCCCTGGCAAAGTCTTCACTATTGGATAAGGGGCCGAGAACCCTGAATGGACCAGGTGAGTGGACACTACTACGGATTTTTGTTAATGCATCCTCAGGGGTCATTGAGCCACACCAGATTTGTGCGTAATTAAGGAAAAATAGTTGATCGTGGGTCAAGTTTATCCCGGGGAGGAGGGGCTCTTCACCATGCGTTGACACCCATTTTCTATAAGCCTGAAAATAAAAAATATAACTTTTTTCATTTCGCTATTGGAAGAGAGGGAATTGCATTCATATGCTCTTGAAAGTCACGCGGGTGATTTTCAAAAAACTAATAGTGAATGGAAGTAGATGGATGAAACAAAACAAGCGTAGACTTGAACGAATACCATAGTTACATAACAATAATGAATTAATTACCAAGAATAGAGAAACACTATATACATAGAGAATCTTTTCGAATGGAATTTGAATGGGTTGAGTGAAAATTAATCCTTGAGTAAACGCAGCCAGGGTTGGGCATCTGTCGATAATCGCAGTTTTTACATGACATTGTACAATACCCGTAATTTACGTAAGAAATGTAAAAAATGTTAAAAAACCAGCCGAAGTTATCTTTTATCGTAAACCGTGAAGCTTCGTGAAGACTATACCTCGCGAGGGTGATAAAAGTCACGAGGTTCATACCTCGCCAGGATCATACGTCGCGTAAGGGTCAATTTCACTATTTATTGATCTCTATTGAATTCGTCGCGTCATCATCTTTTTTCTTGACATTAACTTGTTTCATTCAATATTCTTAAATGACAAAACCGAGGACAAAACTAATTCAATTGTCTTTGGTAGCTTTTTTAAACTCTTTAGAATAAAATGGTTCTTTTCAGGTCCAACTGGGCTTTTCCGGGCCTCCAAATAATAAAGTGGAGAATCCAATAAAGCTCAATAGATAATGAGATTGACTTTCTTACAATGGAAATGACTTGTGACTTTGGTCTTTTGCAACGTTTCATCCTCGTGAAATTTACTCTTTATGAGGTAAGGGGCTCATTTTTTTTAAGTTTTTTTAAATGCCACGTGATGTAATAGTACATTATGTCATTAGGCGATAAAAGTATTATCTGGCGAATGTGGCTTTATAATCCGAGCCGAAGGCGCAGTTTATCGGGCCTAATGACATAAAATAATATTTTATGCTCCAAGTATCGAGATCTGCGTTCTAACCGAACAAAGTGGAGTTAAAATTCGCGGTTTATCTATCCCCGGGATATAATATACTATTTTTAATGATATTTGTGTGTCTAATACTGCGTCTTCATCAGTCGGAATAAAATAAAACATTCTAGTAACCGAAAATTGGAAGCTTTTCCAAGTAATGTAAAAAATAAGAAAACCCGTCAAGGTCATTTACGTAAATTACGCCGGTAAAAATGGTGTAATTTACCAACGTAATTTACACGCCCAACCCTGTCGCAGCTCTTCACCAAACGTGTTGTTGGTCGTACGGTGGGCGATTCGCAGCCCCGTGTGTTTTACAATCTTTGTAAAAAAAACATTTGGAAAAACTTGTTTATTTGTAGTTTACGGGTAATTTCAAACCTTCAAGAAAAAGAAAATGGGGATATCAAATGAGAGTAGTGGACGGATAATCCTATAATTCAATTTCATTAGGTACAAAATTTTGATATTTAGAGATTAAACACGGAGATTTTTTGCGAGTCGAGTGTTCAGAAGTGTCTGATAATGGATTGGTGCAAGTATGACGAAAAAAATAGTCAATGCGTTCGATTTGGTTTAGAATAGGAATACAAATTTTTATAAATTTTTCAGTTACGGGGTTTTTATGTGAGAAAAAAAAATCTAAAAACTGCGATTCCCCCATAGGGCGCCCACTCAATTAATAATAATTAGGTGAATGATCAGTAACGAATTTTCGCAGCTGTAAGTTAATAAAGAGAAAAACTGAAATAATTAAGCTGATAATAGTGATAATGATTATGAAACGGTTCATCAGGGTGTTGGAGATGTTAACGAATGTTATTTGGCATTGAATGAGGGGATTCCCCTCGACTTTCGCAGGGGAATGATGAATGAGGAAACGTTTACGAGAATATCTTGAAGAACTGTTCGGGACCGCAAGTGTATTTCCCTCGTTTCGCGTTTCACTGCTGATTTCAATACCAAATTCCCTTTTCTTCTTTTTCACATGAAATATATAAACAAATGGGTTGATGATGAATTTCCATTCGAAAACACCCGAAAATCTCTGCGCTCAGAGGCAATAAAAGGAACATTATTTAAATTAACAAGACATTACCGAAAAAATAACTAGATTTTCTAATAATTAATATTTTTTTACGTAATAAGCGACATCTTATCGTACAATTTTCCATGGCTCAGTGCGCATTGTTGATTTGATAATATGATTAGGAAGTACGAGAATTTATGAAGGAGTTAAGAATTAGTTGATGTAATATTATGATGAATACTAATTGATCATGCCTTATAATGTAATGATGAAATGCTAATACCATTTCTAATTACGACTTTATTAATTTTTATTTGAATACTGATGATGAAAATACACGTACACGTTACACGATCGGTGGATGAACAACGCACGTTTGTATTTGAGTTGTATAATAGGCGGGTGAACAGTTGAGGGAAGCAATGAGTAATGATTATAAATTACTAAAAGATTAATAAAGTGGAGTGAAGTAATGAATGAGTGATTATTAGTGGAGTTGGTGTTGAATTTTGGGTTTAATTGATGAAAGAAGATTATTTCTTCCTTTAAATCCTTTGATTAACTGAACTTACTCGAAATGACTGTTTGAGCCCTCCATTGTCAGCGATATTCTCTCCCTGCGTCATCCGTCCATCGACGTACAAATTAACATCCTTGAGTTTGTAACGTGAATACTGGTCAACAATGCACTGTGCACGTTCCCTGAATGCTTTAATGGTGGCATTATTCCACCACTGCATCATGTTACCATCTTTGTCAAACTGTCGTCCCTTGTCATCAAAGCCATGTGTAATTTCATGCCCGATGACGACGCCAATTCCACCGTAATTGAGGGACTTTGGAAAATGCTGCGAGTAGAATATGGGCTGGAGGATACCCGCTGGAAATACTGAAAACAACGATCGACGGTTGTTGTCTTCGAAGATAACATAAAACCGTTAGTAAAGTAAACAATTAATGAGTTCATGATCAATCATCTTCCACTCATCTTTAATTAATTCTAATTGAGGTAGAAAAGATCAAATGGGGAAGAAAAAAAAACATTCATTTTACTGATATTTGAAAATAAATTTTTCTCGAAAATCATCCAGATTTTGGTAAATATCTCAAAATCCAAAAGAGTAAGCGAAATTTTCGTGAAGATCTTTTTTGTAGAGCTGAGTGAGATCTACAAAAAATGTCTGGTTGATGAGAAGCTAAATTTAGGGTGTATTTGGGAAGCGTTTTTACTGAGCGTGCGATAGCAAAATTAAAAAATTAGTGTCGGATTGGGGTATGACTGGTAAAAGTTGATGGAATTAATAGTACATTAGAGTACAAGGGCACAAATTTCGTTTTCAACGAATGTGTAGTTTACAGGTGGAGCCGAAGGCGAGAAATTTATTACCGAGTGCTCTATTAGTATATTGTGTCATTAGGACCGTAGACGGAGGTTTGCGATGAGTGCTGCTAACTCACACGAATCGCAAATCGACGTCACGGTCCGTATGACACATACTATTTTTTGTCATGAAGGCCCGTTGAAGGTGAGGGGGAGGGGAAGGGGAAAAATATTTTATGTCAAGTCGTGATTATGTCAGCGCGACGCTGCGCTTCGCGCAGCCTGCTCAAAACTCGACTTATTGCACGGCGCGACATAAATGGGATTTATTATAGGTCGAACCAATAACTTCTCCACCGTTTCCTTTTTGTTTGTTCATTAGAAAACAAAAAATTTTGAAAATTTCATTCGGATAATTAAAGTGCAAATTTCATCATTTTTCTAGGTAAATTGTGGTATTTCCAAACAAAACTCCTTTTCGTCATTTCGGCCGTAAGTCAAAATTTCATGGATACTACAGTGCCTCGCCTTCGGCTTGAGCTACAACCTTGTATTCGCAACAAAAGAATCTTATTCGTAACAAAAAAACGTATCGCCAAATAGTATATTTCGTCATTAGGCAGAGAAAAACTTTTCTGGCGAATATGAGTCTGCAATCATATGAGCTAGAAAAGTGTTTTGAGGCCGTATGATGAACAATATTTTTTGACATAATGGTTTTTTTGACATAGCGTCCGTGAAGTGCTGCTTTACGAAAAAAATTATAAATTAAAATTTGACACATCTTGCGTTTATTCTCGAGTTTTTATGTCTCTTGTCCCACTGTGAGAAATTAGTTACAAGAAAAAAAATTATAGTTTTGAACAATGATAATTGAGGAACTGAAGTTATCTTTGTGCTTGACGGGGAAACAGGAAAATGATCCGAGGGAATCTTGAGTGTTCTCAAGGGTCAACTGGGAGAGGCAGACCCTGATGGTTCACACCCAGAGTTGAACCAGAGTTCCCCAGACTGTGTAATCTGCACAAACTCAATCTGGGTTGGGAGGAAACCCAGAGTTGAGGTTAGGTGCCGAATGTCGGTTTAACTCTGTACCCAGAGTAGATCCCAGAGTTGTGAAATTGATTGTTAAACAAATGTTAAATATTGTTTTAGAGATGGAAGGTGGGAAGAGAGGAATAATAACTTTGTTATAGTGATTCTGGGGTCAAGTTCTCATGTAGGAGAGATGCCAAAGGGCATTCCAACAATGTTATGTCACCTCTGGGTTTAAATCTGGACACAGTCTTGATCCCAGAGTGTTATTTTTTATTGTTGAACAAGTTGTTAATGTCGTTCAATAAAGAGGTGAGGGAGGGGAGGGGGTCCCATGACATTATTTAAGTGATTCTAGGGTCAATTTTCCACTTAGAGAAAATAATAATAATACAACTCTGGAATTAAGACTGTACCCAGAGTTAAACCCAGAGTTGCCTTAATATTGTTGAAATAATCTCCAGCAACTGCCCTAAGTGGGAAATTGACCCTAGAATCACTTAATTAATGTCATGAGACCCGCCTCCCCCTCTCACACCTTTTTATTCAACAACATTAACAACTTGTTCAACAATAAAAAGTAACACTCTGGGATCAAGACGGTGTCCAGAGTTAAACTCAGAGTTGTTATTACATTGTTGAAATGACCTTTGTTCTCTCCCCTAGAGGACAAATTGACCCTTCAATAATGTCATAAGACCACCTCCTCCTCCCCCACCTCTTCATTCAATGAAATTTACAACTTGTTCAGCAATAAAAGTAACACCCTGGGATCAAGACTATGTCCAGAGTTAAACCCAGAGTTGACGTAACATTGTTGGAATGCCCTTTGGCATCTCTCCTACATGAGAAATTGACCCCAGAATCACTCTAACAATATTATTATTCCCCCCTCCCTGCCTTCCATCTCTGAAACAATATTCAACATTTGTTTAACAATCAATTTCACAACTCTGGGATCTACTCTGGGTACAGAGTTCAACCGATATTCGGCACCTAACCTCAACTCTGGGTTTCCCCCCAACCCAGACTGGGTTTGTGGAGATTACTCAGAGTCCAACTCTGGGTATGGACCATCAGGGGGTACAGTAATCAAAACCACGCGTAAAAAGTTCCCGGTTTCCAAAACCATGATATAGAATAAGTTAATAAAATTATGGAAAGCATGATGGTAATTAGAGTATATAACTACTCCAACGAATTTTTGAAGGAAACTGAATTAATTCGTCATTTATTACCAAAAGAAATTGAAATCAACAAGAAAATTGAGTCGGACTCAATTAGGTAAATAACCTGAAGGGTGTAAATGGATCAAATTTTGACGTTTGTGGGGTACATACCTGCTGCGTCCCCGTCGCGAACCCTGGTTAATGTTAAGTGCTGGTGAAGCTTGATACTTTAAAAATGAGTGCTTCACTACACGTTGAATTTATATGAACACCTCATAATTGAATTTTGAAGAACTGCTTTTAGAAGGAAAAGCGTACAATGGGAGGTCCGGTACATCTACATAAGCATAAACGTTACTAATTGTAAGTGTAATAGCTCAAGGAGGTTAAATTCATTTATAGCAGCCAGTTTCCGTCACAATATTCGTCGAAATACTTCAAGATCACATATAAAAACGTAATATTCACCTATCAGTATCCCGGAAAAATTGGAGTTGCTATATTAGCTAATTACCAGCATGATATTGGGAGTAAAAAAATAGGTTCCTCAATTTCAGTAAAACATCCTGAGAATTCAGGACAAAAAAAACGTAACGTCCAGTTAGAAAAGTTTATATCAAGTACCGTTGAATTTGTAAATTAAGAACCATTAGATACACTACGGCTCTTGATTTCAGTACTCAACTTATTATAAGAACTCAAAGTACTATTCCAGAACCAAAATAGTTTCGAATGAGAGAAAATGTATCTTGATGCAAGCACCATGGGCACTGTATTTTAGTAAGAATGATTGCGAAGTAATTTTTTTTCTGTTTTTTAGAGAAAATTCTACTAGAATAAGCGCAAATTCCACTTAAATCCAGGATTTTTTGCTCTCTGGATTCCAGTAATACTCACTATTCAAATATAAGATTGTTACCGGGAACTGGCCACCAAGAATTTTTTTACACTGCGTTCGTTTCTCCCGCATGAAGCTAAAAACGTTTCGCCCCTTTGATTAATCCGCTTGTTTCGCCTGTTTGATCCTTAGAAACTTTCGATCTTTTTTATAACTCCGCCTGATAGACCCTTAAGACCATTGGACCCTTTGGAACGCCTGACCCTTCATTTTTCTGATAAAATTTCGGTGTTCATTCCTCTTTTGCTACTATTCTACTTTGACCCACTCCTCCTTCGCTAATTGATAATTGAATGATTTTGGAACGGATTCTGGGAGTTACGCTTGTTTGTTCTACATGCGAGTCATAACGTATCTCCCATTTCCGTACATGATCAATTTTTTTTGATCATTTGAAAGTGAAATTTAGGCAAAACAGAAAAACGTAAGGAGGATTTACGCTAGTGTAATCGAAAGTGATTGGCGATACGGTGGTTTATTAAAAAAAAATTGAAAATTATTATTTCCGTAATGTTCCAATACCATAAATAGCGCATTTTTTGGAGACACGTCATGTTACTTCTGGAAATGACCGTTTTGTGTAGTCATGTGACTGTTACTATATAAGCTGTCGATATACATGTATTTATTTTTTCAATCAATTTTTTACTTTCATCTTCTTTTCAATAAAATTTTCAAAATTACATTAAATGTACTTTCTCTATTCAACAAATGAGGTATGATGAATAATCTACGATTTTGAGGATATCCAAACGGGATAATCCCCGTCAATTACAACTGTTATAGGATCGAGAAGATATATTTCAAGAACTGTTATGTATTCTCACCAATATCATTTTTATTCGGATGATAGAAAGCATTCACCACAGCTGGTTCTGTCGACCACTTGTCCTTATCCACTGGCTGTCGAAGCTTCTGAAGATTGTGATGTGCGTCGTACTTCAATACCGCAAAAACATTCTCGATAAAGTGGTCGTCAGTGATATTCAGCTACCAAATAACATGGGAAAAAATTAATTACATAAAAATTTCATCATCAAAAAACATCATCTACTTAAAATCCAGAGACTTGCCATCATGTACTCATTCGAAAGCTCCTTCGAATTCCTCAAAAAATCAGGATACCCAATTCTCTCATTCATAGAGTCAGCTTTGCTCTTGGCAACTGTTCTAGTCTCTTCATCCATCCAATGATTCTCAGCGAGAAGTTCATTGAAAGCTTCTCGGATCGTGTGAATCATCTCAAGGGCAGTTTCCTGGGAACCGGTTCATTAATTTCACCATAAATGAAAGTCGAATGTTGAGTAACAAATATATTTATAGCAAATATTTATTTTGCTCGTGTTTTATTTAAATATATATGTTTACTTTGCTCTCGTGATTGAAATTGTCTCGGATAAACAACGCTCCTACCGCCATTCCCAGCTTTTTGTTGGTCCACTCGACACACTGAGACCAGCGGTTCCGTTCGCTCAAGATACCTGACAGAATCTTACGGAATTCCACGCGTTTCTGTTGGTATTCGTCGATCATGTGTGGCATTATTGACATGACTAGACGCCATAGCACGTAGTTATGAAGAATTCTACATGAAAAATGAATTAATTGACATTCTGTCACGTGTGCAAGCGCAAAAAAATTGTATTGGATCAAAAGTTCGATAGAAAAAATCAGTAGAATTGCATATTTTTCTACAACTTTTTCAATTGAGGAATTTTCTAGGAATTCCTCCACATGAATTGACTAAGTTTTCTGCACTTCATTTTTCGTCTGTTTTCATTAGAAAAATAAAAAAAGAACTTCGAATTCCTTGATAGAATTCGGCAAGAGCAAACGTTTGATATCTTAAAATAAGATCTATATTTTGTTTTGGATTTGGGAATTTTTTTTGCATCAATGGAGTCAATTTTTTCACCTAATTAGAAAGGAATATTGACCTTCGATCCGTTTTTTCTATGATTCTCCCCATCTCCACGAAATACGGCATGGCATAAGACACAACGGTCTCATCATCAGTAATAGCCGAAGCATTTAAAAACTGCTGCAAATACAGACTCCACTTGACTTGTGGAATTTTACGCTGCAATTCTCTCAGCGTTAATTTCTGATATATCAGTGATGTGTCGTGCCTGTCAGCCTCTGGTATTGATGCATTAGCTAATTCCTTTTCGAGGGCAATCACGTACTCGAACTCGGTGCGAGCTCTTTTTGGCTCAGCACCCAGGAGTACTGACACATTCGTCATGTAATTATGGTAAGCACGTAGCTCTCGTTCACTGCTGGAGTTCAAGTAGTAGTCACGACTCGGCAGTGCCAATTGCATTTGATCTAACTAGAATGGAATAACAAATGTTAATTTGAAAATTGGAGCGAGAACAACAACAGAAGAACAAATTTTCTAGGAAAAAAAGCAGTTTTTTGTCCGTAAAAAAAATTCGCAAAATTTGGTGGGGGAAGGGGTAAAACGGGGTGATGACGGAAGAAAATGTCAAAACATTTTCATTTAAATTCAATAGTTACAGCTAAACTTATTTATTTTGATCACTTTTCTCTTGATAATTTATCTTCGCTTGTTAATTGTTAATATCTTAACATATTTTTTGTGGATGATTTCCTTCTCAAAGCCGAAAATCTGATATTTGAGACCCTTTATTTCCTAAATAATTAAAAATTGCAAGAATGAGAAAACTTATGTTTAACTAGAATCGTTTCACGGATTCCGCAAGCGCTTTATCTCTACATTAAAACCATGAGGCATTCTAAGTGTCCGTAGGTCTTACTTTGCCGGCGCACCTGGAGGATGTTGGTCGAGGAGTTTTTATCATCAGGACCAACCCAGGGCTCGACGAGGGCCCCCTCGTTGAAGTCAGCCCGGAGACGTCCAAGGAGGACTTCGATGCTGTGCTTGGGGGGCTTCCAATTGGGTCCTTCCACCACTGGCCATCCTCCCAGCTGCTTTAGAGTTTCTTTGAGGGGAGCATCTCCAATCTTCCTAATTTGAGCTGAAAAAAATTGTTATTACTGATTGAATGAAAATAGTATAACTTTTAGTGAATTCAGGTTGAGGTATGCATTCAGGTCGCTATATAAATTTAGGTCCGGTGATTAATTCAGGTAGTGAAATTGTGCCTGGACCTGAACCCGTATTCCGGCATCAATTAAAGTTCAGGGATTAACTTAGTTTCTTACATAAAATAGGATTAATGCATAAATTGAAACTCAGGATGAGTTTTAGGCAGGGATGGCCATCAATTTTCCCATTCTTGAATATTAAAAGAATTTCCGACTTACTTTGATCAAGGTTCAAATATACTAATCAAAATTAAAAAATAGTAGAATAATTGATAATCTAAATTTCCAATTGAAGATGAATTAAATATTGAAAAATATGGAGCTATAAATTTTCTATTAAGTGGATAATACTAAATTTCATATAAGGGATTTCCGATTATTCAAATAATCGTCAATCTTCCCCACGCATAATTCAACGAATAATTCAAAATTTTACTATGTAAATTGATGATTACTTCAATAATTAAAATTTTAAAGTGATATTAAATAATTGACTACTTAACAATTTAACAGTAATTATAATTTACGGATATGACTGTTCCTGGTTTCAGGGCTTGAAACGTGGGTGCAAATTTAAATTCAAATTTAAAATCGGATCTAAGCATACATTCCAAGCTCGGACGGGAATTTAATTCATGAATTAATGTGCCGACCTGAATTGACATTCAGACATAAATTGTTGTCCCGGTATGAATTTAGGTTGAGCCATAGATTTAAGCGTATTCCGACAGTTAGGTCTTGAATTCATACTCGGACCGGAAATTAAATTCAGATTTTGAATCCAATCTAGGCATAAATGCTAACTCAGCCTGAAGTTTCCATCCTGAATTAATGTGTCGATCTCAATTTAGGTTCAGGAATAAATTCAAGCTCATTCCGCCATTTAGATTCTGAATTCATCCCTGCTAGACCTGAATTCAAATTCGGGTATCAATTCAGGTCTACTGTCGGATTCAAAATTTAAGGCTACGCACTTTGAATGCCGATAACTCGTTGAAAAAAAATCTCCGAGAATTGAACCAAAAACTTTTCGGAAGCATAACTATCTAGAAATCATTCAAGATGTTACGTCATGATTTCGCAGTAAATATTTAATATTAATCAATTAAATAAACACTGAAAAACTATGACAATTCAATTCTCCTATTTAAGCCTATCCGTAAGGACAATAGCTTGGGATTGAAGTCGGGCGAATTGTTGAAATGAAACTAGAAAGATAACCAAAATATAATAAACTCAAATCTATTAAAATTATTGACACCAAAATTTCCATAGAATGGACCGTTTAAAATTGTTTCATCCGAAAATCTAATCGCTATCAGCGCAGAATTATCAAAATTTCATACTCAAATATAATTTTTCTATTGAACATAAATAACAAATTTTTTCTTACTCATCCATTTTCCTTGCAGCTCTTGACGTAATCCAAAATTCTCCGTCAGCTCGATATTTTCCACACACGATTTTACTATTCACTCGAAATCGATTTTTTTAACACACAATTTAAATCGTATTATTTACTGACAATAAAAAATTCAGAATCCACGCTTTTTGTATTTCTATCTATTTCTCTTGAAGAGAGCAAAGGTTGAGTTGTCCTGAAGGGACCCGCGATCTTGTCGGAACAGAACTGAACTTCGGGGTGCATCGATGCACTTATAAATCCTCGTGTTTTAATCGTCTTGATTGATGCATGTATATTAATTTTTATGTTTGTTGAAAGAGGGGGCATGACACGATGTCGATGCACCAAGGTACGCCTCGGTACGGATACCTGAACCTTCTGGTGATAACACACTTGGAGACAACTCCAGGCGTTTCCACCCAGCGATCACGTGATCGTTATATAAAATGATTCAATATTTGTTTCTTTTCTTTACTCAATTTTCGGTTGACTTTCAATTCAATGATCTGAATAATATTTTCCCTATGTTTTTTTTAATTTTTCCCAATTTTTTTCATTATTAATTCATTCTTAGAAACGTCCTATTTCTCATCTATGAGAAAAGTGACGTAATGAGTCTAGAGTGCAACCTACCACCCAGGTGAAGATGCCTTTGGCTCGTATTAACAAAAAAAATGTATCAACCATTGTCTTTTCAAATTCTTTTCTTATATTTCTTTTACGGGTAATATCGATTGAATTTTAGACTCGTTTAGAATGCAAAATACTTTTCCTTCGAAGTACTTATTATTTTATAATTCCTAATTATTGAATTTCTTCGTCTATAATTACTCTATTTTCAAAATTAATTCTTCCATTTTTAATGGAAAACGCGATACGTCTCCGGACGTAACAAAGAGAAAACAATTTTTTTTTCGAAAATTCAATTTTCATAAACAGAACAGAAATGAGTGAAAAAGGGGGTATAACTGGGCGTTAGAAGGCACCGCAAAGTTTACATGTCTGTAACGGACATGTGAACTTTGCGGTGCCTTCTACCACCCAGTCTTACCCCCTTTTTCACTCATTTTTGCTCTGTTTATGAAAATTAATCTCGCAAAAAAAAATTTGTTTCCTCTGGAATGATTTTTAAATAGTTATGCTTCCGAGAACTTTTTGGTTCCATTCTCTGAGACTTTTTTTTAACAAGTTATCTCCATTCAAAGTGCGTAGCCTTAAATTTTGAATCCGACAGTAGACATAAATTTAAACTTCGACGGAAGTCAAGTTATTGAATTAATCCCACGATCTGAATCCAGCTTTAAACATCAATTCAGGTACATGCATAACTTTAGGTTCCGGCATGAATTAAAAATGCAACATAAATCCATGCTTTGGCTGCCACTCAGATTCTGAATTCGTCTGGATTCCGGTCCATCAGGTAAGAATTCATTGTCTTAAAATAGATGCTAGATGGATCTGAATTCAGACGGAGGATTCAGGTCCGGGCGGAAATTTCAAGTCAAGTTAATATATAAAAAATCTAAATACTAAAATCGTTTTTAAATACTAAAACAAGCAGGGGATAGCGAGCATACGACAGCGCGCCACATGTCTCAGTGAGCATGTCACTGAGTGATGTCTTATTTTTTTTCGCTATCAATACATTGATGGCGGGCTTCCAAATGGTCTGAAATATTATAAAAGTTTATAGCTTCACAACACTAACTACCAGCAAAAATTTCCGATGGTTACTGCCACCTCTATGGGCGCTATCAAAATTCCAATGTTTTGAATACTTCGTATGAGCAGGTGCACATATTTCTATTCTAATTTCAAGTTGATATTTCGATTATTGCACAAGCTAGAGTGTTTACAATTTTTTTTTTAATGAAAAAACGGGAATATCTCAAAAACTTTGTCTGAACGGATTTACATGTTTTGATTGATTTCGATAGAAGGCATCGAAAGGAATAATTTGAAAACAAAAAAATCGAAATCGATCCGCTAGTTTTGACATTTACGAAAAACGAATTAAAAACGAAGCGCTTTTTCTCAAAACTATTGGATCGATCGGGCTGAAAGTTTGCACAGAGCTAGTCCTCATTACCTATAATCTAACAAAATTTCAAATTTTTTAGAATTGCTTTAGCCACTTAATTACTCAATTTTCTGAAAATTGACCATCGGAAAGGGGGCGGTGGACGTGGTCACATACAGACATGGTATACAGACATGGTCCCCAAACTTCGAGTTTTTACATTTCAGACCATTCTACATCGCTTCCAATAAAAATTAGAGAATGTGAAAATCGAAGGATTGCAATGCTTCCATTCGGAAGCAAAAATCGTGAAAGTACTTAGATATCCTCAAGGATTATTTCTTGATACTTACGTATATCCATACAAGATCTGTAAAACTGCTTGGCCTTGAAGGTAGCACTGTTGTCCTCGATGTTGGGTGGCTCCTCGAGGACACGTTTGAGGATTATTTTGAGCTGATCCGAAAGCACTTCAAAGGGATTTATGGAGCTTCTGTCCTCGGGGATTACGTGCATGTGATTCCACGTGCCACAGGCGTACTGAAAAAAATCGACGCATGGCGCAGCGGTTTTGTCCATCGCTGACAATAGGCTTGCAGCTGTAAAACATTTCATCCACTAAATAATAGTTCGTTACGGAATTTTTTCAATGGCATTAATTAAGCGAGATGAAGATTACATAAATGAACTTTTCGAGGGGATTGGGAGAATGGGAGCAGACGAATTTAGATGGCATGACGAAATTAAAAATAGACGAAATTCTTTCGTTCTTAGGTGATTAAATTTTTTTTTCGGGTCACTGCACTCACCTGTTTTGATACATTCTTCAGTCAGGCAAACTTTTGGTCCTGGAAGAGAGAAATGCAGAAGGGAAGTAATTGCGAAAAGAGAATGCGAAAAAGTTGTGTCAATTCATTCGTCAATATCGCAAAAACCTATAAATTTGAAAAAAAATATCACAAAACCTGCTTTATAGCTCATAAAATTTTCTTTAAAAAATATTATGTGACTTTTTCTCTTAAAACCGCTCATTATCTAGATAATTACATCTTCAAAAAGACGTTGAAAATTTTATTCCACTCTATCTCAGTCAATTGATTAAAAAAATTTTGAATTTAATTTCTAAAGATTTATTGAACTCACGTGAGTCTCGAATACACTCCCGTCCCCGATTTAACGCGAGCAACAAAAGAGTAAACAGACTAGTAGCGAGTAAAGTAACGGCAAGGACTCCGAGTAGTTGTTGGCGATTAGTCGGTCCTCGTCGACGTCTCGTAACAGAAGTGGCCCTCGTGATCGCCGGAATTCTTCCGGAATTCCCTTGAGGGTGGACTATTGTTGTTGTCGTACTACCCCTTGGTCCACACGTCACCTAAAACCCCAAATCATCTCACCCTCACAGGAAAAAATAAGTCAGCAGCGAGATGAAAACAAGAAAAACGTGCAAAACGAGAGGAAAATCTAGTCGATTTCAATTCAGTTTCATTTTTTTATGAATATCTCTGAATTTAATGGAGATGGCGGAATTTATGTTAAAACCTTTTTTGTAGCTCTCATTTTTCTCCACAAAAAGTGTTTCTATAAAAACTTTGCTACCTCCATTAGTTTCCAAGATATTCCCCAAAAACTGAATGAAAAATTGAATTGAATTTTTAAACTGAAGCTAAATGATCTCCATTCAATCTTCAATATCGCCTGACGTAACGAGTAACGATGCGATGTTGACGAGTGATAACTCATCTCAAAGCTTCCCAAAATACCCTGAAAATGACATGACTCGTCAATTTTTCCTCCGGCAATGCCAAGATATTGAAGACCGCAGAGAACAAGAAAAAAACAAGTTTCACATCTCTATAACTAAATTCCCTCGATATCGAATCTAAATTAATGGATTTGTTTTTCCACCTGTAGCATCGTGGAGTGCGGCATTTCGTGCTCATCAGGTGGCAAGAGAGCCGCATTCTTGGGTACGGAGTTTGTCCTCAAGTATCCATTATTAGTTTCCGCCTTCATTTATTATTTTTGGTTCAATCAATTATTTATAAACTCAATTCTCTCTCACTTTCTCTTTCTCTCCCTCTTGTAAACAATCTGAAAAGATATTTATCGATCGGGTGGTTATCAGCATCAGCACATCACCTCAATTATAAGTTTTAAATAGAATTTTATTAACATTTTAAATAGAGAAATAAATAAAAACTGTGATAATATTCGATTTTAAGTCTATTCCACTATTCCACTTCAGAATGCGTTTAATTTTCGGAAAATATCTCGTAATATATCCGAGATATAACAATTTTTGCAAAGAACTTTTTTGTTGGAAACTAAATTATTGAGAATTCATCCGTGAAGAACTCGACTTCGTAAGTAAAATCAACAAATTTCATAACTCAATCTCCAAAAGTCTAATTATCTCACTAAGGATCATTCCTACGAGAAAACGTTATAAAACCTTTTTTATAGGGAATTAAATTGCCTACAAAAAATGTCTATACTAAATTTTTTATATCTTCCGTGGCTTCCGACGTCCAGCCTTGACGAACTCAATCTCCCGTCAATCCAAATTTTTCATCTATCACTTAATTACCAAATTGTGAATCAATTCACCAATTATCAATTATCATCTCCGATGATTTTATTTTGAAACTCGAAGGGATTCTGATTGTTTCACTGAACATACAAATCACAACTTTTTAATTATTCCATCGATTATCTTTTCAATTATAATGATTAATTCCTTAATTCAATATTTTTTCCATATTTGGCATGTTCTATTTATTTTTTTGTAATATTATTTTCTGTGATTGCTGAACTCCTCGTACGAAAGAAGTGGCTCGTGACGACGGTCGGTGCCACACTGAAGATGGTGTATGTTCGTTTTGTAAACGTTAGAGGTGGAAAAACTGGTGGCGCGGCGAGAGTAGTCACCAACGGCGGGAAACTGTTCGTCCCATTGTTATTTTGTCGGTTACGCATCGATTCAGTTTTGTTTATTGACGTTGGAGGGGTGAGTGGTGGACAATGGGGTGTGGATGGAGGAGAGTATCGGATAGTTGAAGATTAACTGCTTGGATTTTTTTCTTTTTCGTTATTTGTGTTCAGCTTGGGGGATGCCTGAAGGATGGAGACGAGAGATTTCAGTCGGGGGAGAGGGGTAGACTCAGGTCGATAGAGAGCCTGCGCACCTGGAGCTGGTCTGCTGGCGGCAGGGGGTACGGAACTGGGGAGTCAGACTGACTCTAATGGGCGATGCGTTGCATTTCTGGATTTCGTGAGGGGAGCCTGACCGAAATGATTTCTCGGTTAGGTATGATCTGGGGATTTCTTAGATTTTTCGGTAGGACCCGTGTCGATGAGCTGTTTAATTGAATAGAGTCAGCAGAATTATGAAATAATTATTGCTATCAACGTCATTGAAATTAGATTCAGCAACATATTGTTTTTTTCATGTTACAACTGTTCCAGTATCTGGGAAATGAAGTTTTTTGTGAATCAATTTATTATATATGTGATAAAAAAATTATTTCTTGGGAAGGAAGTTTGTTGTTTGTCAATTATTTATTTGTTCAGAGTGGAAAATCAACTACTGTTCCTTAATTATCAAAATTTTCAGTTGAAGTCGGTGCGAAAATTTTCGAAAAAAAATCGTACATGATCAGTATGATTAACCCTCTAAGGTGAAGTTCAATATCCCCACTCTACCGTCAAAGCGGAATGCCAGTGTCCCCACTCGAGCACCCTACTACGCTTTACTACGCTTTTCACCTTAGAGAGTTAACAGGACATTTCCCTACAAATGAATTTGTTAGCAATAAACCTCACACTGTTAGAAATGTTTTGAAAATGAACTAACAGATGAGGTATGCACGCCAAATCGACCAATCTCTGACCCTCACCTCCTTGAAAATTATCGGCGATTTTTGTCTGAATAGAGTCGCATAAAAAACTATTATCTGAATTTTTTCAGATTTTTTCAATAATCGACTGCCGAGATATGATTTTTTGAATGTTTTTTCGTATTTCTCGCATAACTTCCGTTTTATTAAAGCAATGAATAAAAAAAGCAAATCTTCGTCTTTTCGTAAACTTTCGGTGTAGTTTTTTTTTTTTTTATATTTTTCCTCTCACTCCCTGATACTCTAAAAGTCAAAATTCGGAAAAAAATGAAAAAATCTAATTTGTACTAAATATGTCATAAATGGTTTTTCTGAAAAAATTCACATATATTCTTACTTTAAAAACAAATTTTTTGAGCCCTCCCAAATTATGGTAATCGCCATGGATCTATTTTATTTCGAATTTTTTCGGTAATTTTTTTTCAATTTTCAATAGAAGTTGACATTAAACATTCCAAAAATTCTTTACATGATTGAATGTCTATGATTTTTGTCAAAAATTGAAAAAAAATACAACCGAAGATCCCTTGAGTAGTTTGTAAACCATTATCATTATTTTCTCTTCTTTGGCACCATTTTTGTAACCGACCGTGTAACAATTATTATATGCATAGTCAAAAACGTGAATCGTTCAATTTTTCAAATTTCCCGCGATCGATACAATGCAACGGAGTGTTCACAGTTGTTGATTTGATTCATTTTTTAACGAAGCCGGTTCAGTTTGAGGCTGTGAAAACTGATCTGTCAGTCACGAGACTTTTTCTTTGTCTTAAAATTATCTTTTCATGTTATCAACGAGTGAGTGTCATGAAACTCTCAGAATTTCTAAGATTTTCGGAGAAGTGTCAATTTTTATGGTGAATTAGAGTGATTGTTATAGAAGCCAAGTAAAGTTTCCGAAATTAATTATGCCGCCAAAATAATTCAACCGTTGTTGCAATCCTCTCAAGCTCAGGAATCACAATAAGAGAAGAAGTTTACGACGAGCGAGTGATACCCAGATGAAAAGATGGAGTTTGACTCGTAATGACCTTTCATGCAGACAATGCAGACAATTGAAAGAAACATAATCAACAATTGTAATTGAGGATGTAAATAATACATTAAATATTGATAGCACGGAGACAACACAATCACAATTCCAATCAGATGATACCATTGGTGCTGCTGGCTCATCAACATCTGCTCCTAGTCTAGAGACAAATAATAATGAAAATTATGAAATTGAGCAGGGAAGTGTTATTTCGCAACCCCATACGCATGAAGACATAAACAGAGGTAAGATAATGTTCAAGAAATCTTAATTTCAGAATTTCCCACCAAAACGAATAATCGCTCGCTTCATGGAAGCGCTTTAATGAACATATTCGATAATATTTTGTTAGGTCTCTCATCAACGACCGGAGAATCGTTCGCCTCAACTAGTACCAAGTCCTTTGAAACAATTGAGAAATCCGTATCAGAACTCAGTATTGGAACAAGACTCCGAATAATTAATAAAGCATTAGTATTGTTAGATCAATCACCGATTCCACTGAAAAAATTGAATCAATCTACAGAGGCTTGGATTGAGCGAAAATCTCTCAAAGTAGGCCAGACTCTAAACCGTCAGCTTGGTGGTGAAATAATTGATTCCATATCACCCCAAGATTCTAGAGATCTAGTGAATATTAGGTGTGTGACTTAATTTTTACAGATTTTTCAGTAAATTTATTTAATATAAAAAAATAGAGAACAACGAACTTAATCTTGGAAATATTGTCCATCGTTTTCTATGACCTTGCGTCATCTCTCAGGTAACATTTGAATGCCGTCGCGAAAGAAACTTGCAGGCTTCGAGGCGATGAAGTCATCGACGAATTTACGCACATCGTCCAGCGTTTTAAACTGTGAATCCACTAAGGCATGCTGCATGGACCGGAACAAGTGATAGTCGGATGGGGCCAAGTCTGGTGAATATGCCATGTGCGGGAGAACTTCCCATCCCAAATTTAAGAGGGTCTTCTGAGCGGTTGTGTTCAGTCAACACATGTGGGACCCACCTTCCAAGTTTTTGGATTTTTCCCATTTGACGCAAACGCTTAGAAATAGCTGTTCCGGTGACTCCTAACTGAGCTGCAAGCTCTTATTGCATTTGCGTTGAGTCTTCATCCAGTAGAACTTGCAATTCCGCATCTGTAAACTTTCGAGGCTGTCCAGGAGCGGCTGGTCACTCAGATCGAAATCACCACTTCTAAAACGTTTGTACCAATAATTACACGTTTCATAAGATACAACGTCGGCATCAAGAATACTACACATTGATTCCCGTGCTTCAGAAGCATTTTTTCCTTGTTGGAATTCATATAAAATGCAGTGCCGAATGTGCTGTTTATCAGTTGCCATCGTAAACTCTGCTATTGTGAAAGGTTATGTAACTTACATAGACTTGTCGTTCCGTGTTCTGAAACCTTTTGTCCGATTCTTTCAAAACCAGAAAAGACCGCGAATATATTTCTATTTTAAATATAATTTTAAGCTCGAAGAAAAAATCTGTAAAAATTAAGTGACACACCTAATATTATTCTTCGGTTAAAAGACAAATTCCATCAGGGACAATTGAGCAATGCAGAGAAAATTCAAATCTCCACTTTACTACCTCCGGAGTGGAGTGTTGATAGAATTCAGGAAATGATGGCCACATCCTCGTATTTAGTGAAAAGAGCAAAAAAATTGTTCGATGAAGAGGGGATTCTATCATCACCTGCAAAGAAGAAAGGTATGATTCATGACTTNAAGAAAAAATCTGTAAAAATTAAGTGACACACCTAATATTATTCTTCGGTTAAAAGACAAATTCCATCAGGGACAATTGAGCAATGCAGAGAAAATTCAAATCTCCACTTTACTACCTCCGGAGTGGAGTGTTGATAGAATTCAGGAAATGATGGCCACATCCTCGTATTTAGTGAAAAGAGCAAAAAAATTGTTCGATGAAGAGGGGATTCTATCATCACCTGCAAAGAAGAGAAGTATGATTCATGACTTTTTGAGAAGATTACTGTTCCATATCCCATGTCTCCATTTAATATAAAATGAACAATCTTTCAATTCTAGGACGTCCTATTACTGAAATAA